CTTTGTAAAGTATCTCTCATTAATATTTCTGTCCATTTCATGTCATGCCTTTCAGCAAAGAGAAGAAGTGAAAATTCGCTGGACACCATGCTCCGAGTGGTAAGTTTTTCCTTAATGACCATACACGTATGTGTTGTACTGGAAGCAAAGGGTTTATACACTGATACAGTAGGCTCATCTCAATTGAATACTTTTGTATTGTATGTTGTTATGTAATTTGTCCTACAGAAGAGAAACACAAATCACTAACATATGTATTAGTTATGCTACCCGTATTTGTATATATCCTAAATGTTTGACGTGCTGTGGGTCTACCACACATGCATCACAAACCACAAGTAAGAACTGTACGTTATTATTTTATAATCAAAACATTATTATAGAATATATATAGAAGTATATTTCACACACTTTAATGTTTTTATAGAGTTCGATCTCCTCATTCGTTTAAGAGATTTAATATATTTTACTCTTAATGAAGCACTTTCAACATTTAATGACTCTGATCCTCCTTTAACGGTAAGATCAGCTGCAGTGAGCAGAGGCTGTGCAGCTGGGGGCGGAGCTCTGATGCGCGAGTAGTGTGCTCTCGTGTATCCTACCTTTCGTCTCCTCTGGAAGCCTCCTCCCTCACCCCTCCTCGACTCCTCCATTTGCATTGAAGCGATTGTGACGTCCTTCAACATGGCGTGTCTTGATTGATTTCCGGGTCAAGTCCCGGAGGAGGGGGAGAGAGGAGTCGAAGAAGGACATTGAGCTGAACCTAATGTTTCAAATCCTATTTGAAATTGACTTACTTGCCTGATTAAGCATCAGAAATATATATAGCATGACATATTAATAATTATTCAACTGTTCTTTATGTGTGTTTTGCAGTGGCAAGGACTGGGAGGACACATGGGTGCCTGCCCAACACTATAGCAGCTCAAAATGATAACACACAGACACACACACACACATACACATACACACAGACACACACACACAAACACACACACACACACATACACATACACACAGACACACACACACACACACACACACACACACACACACGCATACACACACACACACACACACACACACACACACACACACACACACACACACACACACACACACACACACACACACACACACACACACACAATACGTTTTTCCAATAAATTGTTTCAATAAATTGTTGTTTCTGTTGTGTATTTTTTGTACAAGTATTTCTCAATAGGGTAAAGCCTTTTAAAATGTTTGGTATGTTAATGCAAATGTGACAATCATTATTTTCGGGCTGCCTCAGTCTTAAAACACAAGATAGATATCAATTTTTGTTATGGTCTTCTGTATATGTCATGAATAATACTGGTAGAATTTGAATTTGCCCCAAAACGTGGAAATGCAGACCAGATCTTCTAAATGCCAGGGACCGGAACATCAGGAGCATCTCTAAAAGACGATATGTGACAGTCCTGCAGCAATGGACCATATGAGAAACATTATGTTAAAACCTAGAAACTTATTCTAAACCTACTATCAAAGTATTCACCTGAAATGTAGCACAATTTGGCTCCTGTTAAAAGCACTATTTGAAAATGTAGATTTGTCAGGTCAACATGTGACTTATCTGGTTTGCTATAACAGTTTTACTCCCCAATTGAACTGTATTTGACAATCATTAAATTCACAAACATAATTTGGGAAATAAATCAAAGACAATAGTGTAAATAAGAAAGGTTTAGTTTTTGAAACTTGTAATGGGGACGTTGATACATTTCTGTCATATTTAGAAGATAGGAAAAAAAGTGAATAAGTATTCTCTCTAATGTCGATTGATTTTACAGTGATATTTGCATTACTCAACTCAAAAACACATGATTACACAACATTGATTGGTTTAAATTGTGTACAATGATTTTGTGTTTTTTCCCCTTCGATTCGGAGATATTTTTTTCTGAGTTTAGGATGGCAGAAGACACTACACTACCCATAATACACAGCAACATGTAAAACATGCAATTTATTGTTACTTTGTAATTCTACTCCACCACAATTCAGAGGTTAACCTGGTATTTTTAGTCCACCACATTTATTTTAGTTACTTTGCAGATTCTGATTAATGATGTGAAATATAAACAACCCTTAAATCAGACTTTAGTTACACCTGAGTAAAATTCAGTGAAGCCTGAACAATCAGGCGAGATATTTGATAGTTGGTAATTGAGAAGACTAAACATTTATCTCCAGATCCCTATAAAGTATATTCATTACTCGTTATTCTCTAATCGTTCATTAAAGACTGTATGAAATGGCTATTTGGCACATCCCTTTCAAGATGTTCTAAGGTTTATTGACATATCATATACACAACTACGGTGTAGTTATGCAATGAATGAAAAACTTCGCAGGTTCGTCAACAGTGCATGACAAGAGATCTATCAATATGTGTCTACCTCCACCATTAAACTGTCATATTCTGCACATTTCTTATACTATCTACATACATCTTATAAGAGTATAATTAATATGTAATATCAGTTAAAATAAGTGCTTACACGTAGTTAACATTGCAGGAAAGTTGATTGTCAAGTCCCAAAACAAATTATGCAATATATTAGACTTTAAGTACTTTGTCAGGCTTAATATTTATCTGTAGATTTACCAAAGCTTTTTGCTTACATGTATTTAAAAGAAGACCTTAACTTAAAGTATTATTTAAATGTTTAACCTCTTAAGCCCTGAGCCTGTTTTTCAGGTCTCAGGCTCGAAAATGACATTCCCAGAACAAATGACCATATCTTCCCTTCTAAAAGGGTTAAATTAATAATCTTTATTCTCAAAGTAATGATAAACCTGTGAGTTGGATGTAGAAAAGTCAGAATCAATATAGATGTTTTTTTATTTTAAAGAAAATTCAGATTTTACATAGTAAAAAACTGTAAATTATAGTGTCCGTCCAAAAATAATTTTTTACTTATAGTGAAAATTACCCTTGGATGATGGGTTAGTAGACTAAAAGCTTTAGGAATCCAAAGTACAACATATAATAAGTACCGTGTATCAAGATTGATGCAAAACAAGTGAAATTTGACCTTTTTAGAGAGATTTAGCCAAAAAAACCCACTTCTGGGGTCATTTGGGTGGATTTGACCTATCTCTGGCCCCCCTTGCTCGATTTTGATGAATGAAATCTCTTTATAACCGCTAGAGCCAATGGAATCGAGGGAAAGTTATATACACACCAAAACGTTAACAAATAAGGAGTGAGAGTTACCAAAACCGGAAGCTGCATACACTCTGGTGGCTGCCATTAGCAGCTAACTTTTCCGCTCCGATTTTTACATAAAAAATGGAATTATGGATTATAAATAATTTCTTCAAAGGCACAGGTACATTATCAACCTATGGATCAACAGTTGTAGCATTTTTTTTTTCCGTTTTAATGCCATTGAACACGTCTTTTGACCTAATTGACAGCTACGGTGAGACGATCTGCCGTAAATGCTCCGTAAAGGTACGTGTTGTGATGTCTGTGTTTGCTTCCCCTGTCGCAAATTCGGATCGCTCAGTGATGATACTATACCTAAATAATCTGTGGAGTCTCAGCTTTAATCGGCTATATTGTATTTGCAGCTACGATAAGTAATAAGGGTATCTTTATCTTGAATTGTGTGCCACAGTGCGTTAGAATTTTTTCGCTCATGGGTCACTTAGACGCTTCTTATGAGACTTGTGTTTTGTTTTGTCAAAAATGGTTCATATCTTCAGTTAGCTGAGATTCTTCCCGTTAATCTGGTGCTACACATTAATAGTTTCATAAATGTTAAGAAGCCCTGAGACATTATCTCGAAAAAAAAAACGGTGGGAGGGGTCCAATGGGGGGACCGCCGTGCTTAAGAGGTTAATAAAGCCTGATTAATTTGTCTGATTTGCACATCCTCCTATTAATATCTGTGTACATCCGGCACTAAACTTTTATTGTAGAGATCACTTACAGTAGCCTATCTTCTTGATATTTTCTATTCTATATTTCTATTCTATATTTCTATCATTGACCTTCTACTTTCCCCCTATTTGTATGTACTCTTAATATTTAAATGTTTTCATCAAATTTAACCCATTCAACAAAACATGCAGAGATTAGCAACACAACCTTACCGGCATTGCAATGACTGTAAACGTGTAATAACGTGCTTTAACCACTAGGTGAATAATACAGACGTATAAAGTACACATGGTATACAATGCTATCAAAAACATATTATGTTAATTTACATATCTAACTACCATTATCAAGCTAAATATGGACTATATGAGGCTTATGCATTGTACCAGGTGTAGGCTAATTATGTAGGCTAAGTCAAAAACAGGCAACTGATGAGGTGTTTGAAAGGTAATTTATGAGGATCAAACAAATGAGGTACAAAGAATACAATGCCATTTTATCTGTTTTATTATTAGTGTAGGACAGATATGTATATATAACACCTGAAGATGTTTTATTCATGTTAGTCATTACTTTTAATACTAGTTGAACATTACATTTTTACATTTGTATGTTTAAAAAAAAAAAATGTTTCTAGTTATTGTGCTTTTTATCATGTTTTTAATTATTGTTTTATTATTGTACTCCCATTGTGTTATTTAATATTGTAGTTATTGCCTGTACAGCACTTTGGTCAACTGAAGGTTGTTTTAAATGTGATATATACAGGATATAGCTATATTATTGCACATATTTTAAAACATCAGACAAAAATGTTTATCCGCCCCCTCATGGTGCTAATCAGTATGTGTGTTTGCTAAACAGAGATACAAACAGAACATGAGTGAACAGTCAAAACTATTTGTATCAACTTTATTGTTATGGGACCTTGTTTACATAGTGTTTCAGAGTAGACATGTAATAACATCTGAATAAAATGAAATTATAGAAAATGCCTTCAACAACATATCAACAACCTGAAGAATAACTTACTGGACATACTATTAAGACATTAAGAAATGTGTCATTTTTTTTTGTCGGAGGACCGCAGCTGACGAGAGGGGGTGTAGGGCTGAAGGAGGTCAGAGATGTATGCAGGGGCTAGGGAGTGGAGAGATGTGTAGGTTAGCAGGAGGAGTTTGTACTGGATGCGTGACTTGACCGGGAGCCAGTGAAGGTGGAGGAGGGTGGGGGTGATGTGTTGCCAGGGCTTAGTGCGGGTGAGGAGCCTGGCTGCAGAGTTCTGGACGTACTGGAGCCTGTCCAGGGCTTTGCAGGTGACCCCGAACAGAACTCCATTGCAGTAGTCCAGGCGTCAGGAGATGAAGGTATGTATTAATGATTCTGCAACGGGGTCGGGGAGAGAGGGCCGGAGTCTGGAGATGTTTCGAAGGTGAAAAAAAGCAGTTTTGACAGTAGACCTGATGTGGGAGTTGAAGGTGAGGCTAGAGTCCAGAGTGACGCCCAGGCTGGATGGAGCAGCCATCGACGGTGAGGAGCAGATCTCCAACCTTCCGGAGCAGTGTTTTTGGGGCCACAACCATCAGCTCTGTTTTGTTTTTGTTGAGTTTCAGTAGGTTTGTTGACATCCAGGTTTGGATGTTGCGGAGGCAGTTGACTAGTGACAGTGGGGGTAGCTGGGATGATGGATTGGTACTGATGTAGAGTTGGGTGTCGTCGGCATAGGAGTGGAAGTTGAGACCATGTTGGCGGAGTATTTCACAGAGGGGGAGCATGTAGATGTTAAATAGAAGGTAGTCTGGAGGGGGCTTCACCGTGTGTCATCAGAGCTGTCAGAGTCGCAGTCAGAAGACTCATCTGAAAGACTTTGCAAGAAGCTGATGGTCTCTGCTCCAGTCAAAACGTGCAGGTAGCATCGTCTCGCATGAGTCTTCATTTCTCCGATGTCGTGCTGCTTTTTCCTAAACATGCTCTGGAGACCTTTCATCCCGTCTTCGCTCAGGCCCAATGGTGAATCTTAAATGTATAAGATAAAGACAATATTAGTTACTTCATCACCTATCACTGATGTGTAAAGTCATGCAAAGTAAAAATGTAATATATACTGTATTTTGCAGGCAGGACATCTCTTTTAGGGAATCACTGCGGGTTGAAAGGACCTTCAAGGTTCAAGGTTCAAGGTTCTTTATTGTCAATCTGACATAGTTACAGAGTAATTATGTAGTTGAAAATCTTATGTCACAGGCTTCTCCAACAATGCAACATAATAACATAATAACAATAAGAGCAAGAGCAATACAAAAAGAATAATAGTTATAAAATAAAATAAAGTTATGATGCGGAATAGTGCAATAGAGTCTATATACAAGTTATTGGAATGATATATATATATATATTAGGTATTAGATACATACTACTGAGTAGCAGATGAATGTTTGAAGTTGTTTCAACAGTTCAATTTTTTAACAGTCTCACTGCCCGCGGGAAGAAACTGTCTCCGAATCTTCTTGTCCTTGCCAGGATGCTGCGGTAACGTCTGCCAGACGGCAACAGAAAGAACAGTTTGTGGCTGGGGTGATGGGGGTCTTTGATAATCCGTAGGGATTTCTTCCTGAGCCGCTGGGAGTAAAGGTCCTTCATGGATGGCAGCTCCGTCCTGGTGATGTGCTGTGCAGTTTTCACCACCCTCTTCCAGTGGTGGTTCATTTCTGTGATGAGAATCTTCTTCTCCTCCTGTAGTCTCTTCACTGCCATGACAAGGTCGAATGTTCTTCTCTTTGTCCTGAGGTCGAAAGAGTCTGGAAAGCATTTATGACAAAACATGAATTAATGTGTATGAAAGATCAACATTCAAAGAATCGATGAAGTCTTAAATAGATTTATATATCAGACATGAAGGTTTTCCACATTTGCTGTGAGCATTCAGCAGACTGGTGTACTTACCACTGTTTGGTAGCTGCCATGGCCAAGCTTTCTCCACAGACAGAATGGCTTCGAGGCACAGCGCTTCTGTGCTTGGAACCATTGAGTTGTATTTCTCAACTGTGGCTGTCAGGACCCCTTTCTCATCCCTGATCTTGCGGCGGATCCGGGAACGACCTTTGTTGCTGTCTGTGTCTTTGTAGAGACGCTGCGAACGTCTCTTGACACTTACTGTCAGCATTTCGATCTTGCTGGCCAAGGCAGCAGCATCCCTTGGGTTGTTTGTTGTTGCTTTTTAGAGGAAATAGGTGTATTAAGCAGAGTAATTCACAATAACAGTGACATTTGATCAAATGTTTTAATATTATTTTATTACATATGCTTCATGAAAAATAAGTAATGCAAATGTCAATAGAGGGTTATCACTAATTCTGAAAATTAAAAATAAATTGATAAATCATGACTACAAAAAAGTTGAAAAACGTCATTAAGATTGTCCTCACTTTCTGCCCACTCATTCACATCTCTGACCCAGTCTTCCAGCTGCTTTTCAGTCACTGCCAACTCAGCCTCCATGGACTCCAGGTTCTGCAATTGCTTTTCCAGAGCTTTTGTGGTCTACAAACGTCAAACAATTAAAGACAAGTAAATACAGAAATCTACATTTAGGCTGCAGCCACAAATAATTATTCTAAAACTATGTTATTACCTTCAGATATCTGACAGTGAGGTGGCCAAGTTGCTGACTTTTTGCTGATTCCAGCGCATGGCCATCAGCGTCAGCATGTCTGTACGTCCTACAAAAGAGAATATCACATTATTACTATTCCTCTTACTTCTTATACTGTAACTGGGGTTTATACTATATTGCCATCCTAAATGGTGTTCTATGGTCATAACCGTCAATGAGCTTTTATGAGTTTGTGTTGTTGGTGTAATTTGTTAGTGTAATCTGTGCCTTTCTGAACATTTTTTGAAAACTGACAGTAAAGGTTCTATCGTAACTCACCTGCTTTTGACATGTGTTTTGTGGTCACTGCTATCCGAGAGAGGAAGGCATTGACCTGTTCCACCTCCTCCCCTAGGGTTAGTCCAGCCCCCTCTTGATATGCCCCACTCCATTTCACCTGTTTAAAATATATTCAAAAGTACGACTCGTTACAACTTGTCACTATTCACAAGGAGGTTTTTACATAAAGTGATTGTGTCACATAGTAACAATTCCTTACTTCACATTTGAAGTCATGCGCTTTGGCATGAAACACTGAGAGAAAGGGCTTCATGTCGAGAAGATGCTGGAGCTCTGGACAGCTTTTTGTGATTCTCTGGAGGTAGGGCCAATATTTGCAGGTCACATCCATGCAAAATAACATACTACTGGCCAGCTTTTTCTGTAGGTACAGGGGATAAGCAAAGATTTCTCCCCTGTACATATTGAGAGCACAGAGGAGCACTCCATGTCGACAGACGGCAAGCTCTAGTCCCTCCTCATCCAGCTTGCCGGCTGATTTTTGGGAGGTCTCTCTGGCTGCCGACCACTGTCCTCCACAAACACCTCTTCCGGAGACCTAATATATAAAAATGTATTGATGAAAATGGTGCAAAGACTAACCTAACCAAACCCTTCATTAGGATATTATATTATACATAATTAGAGTCTGCAATATTACATGTTTGGTTGTGGTGTGTATATAGCATAGACTGTATATATAAATGGACGTAGGGTCCGTGACGTCACCCATAGGATTCTGCAGAGTTGCCGAGAAGCCCTTAGTAGGCGGAGTCGGCCACTAACGGCTCGACAGTGACGTCTGAGTCTAACTCCCGCCTGCTCCAGCCTGCTCCAAATAAGGGCAAAGAGGCGGAGCAGAGGCGGGACCTGCTGCCTGCAGCTGGGAAGTAACAGAGCTAGCTCAAGCTAAGAAGCTAAGCTAACATGCTTCCCCATCTGCACACTGCCGTCACATTTTACGTTTCTAAGGTAAGCGGACATGAAACTATTCAGCAAAACTATAAATAATAATCTAAGTTATTGAGTTTTTAGCATAATACTTCAGAATCTTAAAATCCCTTAACGTTTGTATGCAATGTGCTAAATGCAACACTGGAATCAAGCAAATTAATATGTTTGCATGACATTAGTTATTTATATGTTGCTATCACTTAATTATACGTTTAATACATTTAAGTCAAGCTAAGGTACATGTGATGATAGCTAGTTAGTGCTCTTACCTGTGAGGCCTCCTCCAAACAGCATTATAACCAGACTGTATCATTAAAACTATAAGTACCAGTTCTAGATCCTTGACTTTAGACAAACAATTCAAAAGACAAAATGTATTTAAAGACCAATCTTTATTTGAAGGTGCCTCTTAACCTGAGATATTAGTTATACAGTAATAATATTGACAATCTAAAAAAACTGAGCAACTCAACAGTCAACTTTATATTTCTTATTGTCTAAAGCATTTATTATTTTCATTTTCCCCTCTCATATTCAGTGTGGACGGATTGAGACAGCGTGGTGTCCAGAGAGCTGCAGAGACTTCAGGGAGAAACCTCCGTGTGATGGACGTCCAGTCTGTTGGTTTGGAGAGGACTGAGGGTCTTTCCTCTGCGAGGAGGACCAGACCTGGGCATAGCTGACACCAACTGCACAGGCCTTGTCTGTCACTTTATTTGACTAAATGTGTTTACTTATACATTTAATAGGTTTACACCTTCTGTCCATATGTGCTTTTTTATTTAAAACATGTTTGATTAACTTTTGGTTCTGATTTCAATAAATTGAATTTGTATTTGCACTCCTTTTGTCCATTATTCTTACTGAAAATGTTAGATTACACATTCACATCTGACTGAAGATTGGCCCCATTTATTTGTGACGTTGCAAACTCTGCGGTACAAGGTACAGGTGTTGTGAAGTTCATAAAGTGAGGCAAATAGAATTAATCAGCTGATGGAGTGTAGATGTGGAAACAGGTGCATTCGATCAGCTGACTTCACAATAAAAGTAGTTTCTTAGTGAATGTCCTGTACTGGTCTTAAAATCTCATAACATCAGCTTTTAATTTTCCTCTTGGATGTTCTTCTTGACCCTCAGAGAAGGAGAAAATGTTGAGTCTTGTCTTTCAGGCATGTCCTTTCCTAACAAAAATTACAGGAAACATAAAACATATTATTGCAGAACAAGTGTGTTATTTATGAAAGAGGTGTGTGTGTGTGTTTAGGGGCTGTAGATATAATTATTTTGTAATTGTAATGTTTTATTTTATTTCAACAGTGAGCTACAAAGACAATCAGATTATGAATGAACAGTATGACATTCATCAACATTGAAATATATTTTATTATCAAAATAATATTTAACTGTTATCAAAACTTAGTGCAACTGTAGAAGCTTGCTCTGTTCTCTCACTGAAATCATAACTTTTACCACGTTTTTTACAGACAATATTGAGAGATAAATAGCAGTTGTCACTAATAGCTTTGCCTTCAATACCTTAAATTAGAAAGCTGACAAAGTAATATTGCTTGTTAACATGTAACCCTTTGCATGGAAAAAACCCTCAACTTCACTGATGTGTAGGTGATCTAGTATTTAGTATTGTTTAATGGAATGTATATCAGTGTATTAAAGTCAATACTTCATTTATTTAAACCAATATCTTTCTTGATTCTTTGTACAGTATGAAAAAAGAGTATTTGTACCTGTGCTGAAGTTCACTGCTGTGAGGAGTCCAGTTCTGTCTCTCACTCTCTGGTCCATCCTGTCTGCATCACCTGGGCACTTTAAACAAACAGATATATATGTAAAGAACCATGTGTACAAACAATATAACTTATTCTCTTCTGTTGAACATGTTGGATTGTGTATTGTCCGAGTCAGGGTCCTTTTTATTTTACTGTAACTTTGGAAGTTGTGTTACCAATGCTTACTGTTTATTTGATACCAATTTGGTAATGCAATTAATAAAAACAACAAGATTTGGGTTCGTTCTTCAGATGACTGTGACGTTAACGTGTAAGCTCAATAATGAACTCCAGCTCAACCAACCATATTGTAATATCTAAGTAATCATCTTGAAATATGACATTAATAATTGTAATATACACACATCTTATTGTGAGGTTGATTTCAAATACACTACTTCGACGTTAGCTTGTCTACATACTTGAGCATAGCCAATTTAAATTAACCTTAGCGATGCATACAGTTCCTACCTACATAATAAAATATCTCTAAGTTACAAGGATGACCTTATTTTATCAACCTCAAACAGAAGCCTTTTGTTCTACAGTACTATCTCACTTAACGCTTAACACTTGTCTATTTCATTTTAACCTTTATATATACAGTCTATGGTTTTAAGTTAACTTGGAGGATACGATTAGCATCGTTAGCACCAATGTAGCTACCACTCGCTTACACGCTAACCCAAGCCTTAACATTCATTACGTAGCTGATTAAAATCATAAACACATACATAAAGTACTCGAATTTCACTTACCGCAAAACGGCATTCATGCACCGTCTGTTTTAACCGCAGAGCGAGTCACAATAGTCCGATATATAAGCATGAAGAACAAACAAACACGGCCGGGGTCAAGTTGTGTTCCCTGGATGAACTGGGCAGGCAGAGTCCCTGTAGCTTCACGGACGGAGCAGCTAGCAGAGAGACAAGAAGCTAACAGCAGCAGTCACTTGACAGAGCTGTCACTCAATGTGACCACGCCCTAATTTATGCAAAAACTTTAAGACCTAATATAAATAAAAGGGTCATGTTAGAAAACAATTCACTCACAGATCCATAATCATGAAGGTGGAATCTAACTATATACATAATAATATTTATTGGATCCATGGGTAGAAACATGTTTTTTTAGGCTGTAAAATTGGGCATTTTAACATGGGGGTCTATGGAAATTGCTCCTTTCTGCAGTCAGCGCCTATCGGCCAATATATGAACTGCAGTTTGTGGCACTTCCGTATTGGCGTCCCGGCTCTTCCCCAGAGTTTGCCGCTTGGTATATAGTCCACAAATCTTGAGACGTCTTCATCCCTGGCTATAAAGACACCGTCAAAGATGGCCCGTACCTCAGATCTAAATAAATCAAAGGAGCAATGTATGACATCTCAGATGATAAGGTTGATTGGTTCACATCAAGATACTTTTGTTTCGTTATTTGTTCAAATACTGTGACATTATATATTTTCTATAGTACCTAGCTGCATTCTTGAAACTGTAATGCTTGCGGTTTCCATCCACGGAAACTGCAAGCATATCAGGGCTACACGCAGGACAGGTGAAGGGCTCCTCCTTGCACATGATGTCCACCTCATAACGCACAGCCTCCCACTCAAAGAAACTTTTGATGAAGCTGTCAGTTGAGATCTTCCCAGTCTATAACAAAATAAGGACATCAACAGATAATTATATGTCAAAAATAAATTATAAATTATAAGGACACAGCTTACAATTTGTAAAATACAAATAGATCAAAAAGGACAAGTAACTTCAATACTCACACGGCCGAAGCGCAAAATATGCCTGAAAGGATAGTCCAGGTGCAGCCATTTTAATTTCTTCAAATGAGAAGAAAACATCTGTGGCATAAATGGTGGCGAAGTGAAGGGTAGCTGGCCAGTAGTCACTCCGAAGAAGGTCGTCAACCCCAGTCGTCCATGTCGCAGCGCATGCTTCACAAGCCAACTCTGGCATGCTTAGCTCATGTCGTCCTTGAAAAACAGACAAGGTGTTTTTTGATACATTTGGTATTCTTTACTCAATACCCATGTTAAGGTTTAATAGACAAGCTATCCCACATGTGCGGGTCTTTGAGAAGGGTTGGATATTATCAAGAAGAAACTTCAATAACATCTATCTTAAGAAACAAGACAAACATTCTTCCCATTCTTACCATTCATTGTGATCACAGTCACAGTCTTTCCTGGCTTGAGGCTCAATGACTCTGATGCACAACCACAGATTTTGTCCGGGATCTCCACAGGTACAAACCGCACTGGAAAAAAATTCAAATGGGAATTAAAAATAATTTGTCTCTTTTGAGAAATACAACATTGTTATGTGACATATTTAGGATTGAACTTTACATCAGAACATTAAAAAGAGACTTAAGCACACTGCTGGGAATTAACACAGAGATGTTGAGGAAGCTCACATTTTCAAAATGAAGTTCTCAACAAGTCCAGCAAGAAAATGTACATTCACAAACCAGAACTTACCACAGGAGCAAAGGGCCGTGTTGTTGGGGCCAATGGCTGGAAGTAACCTGCAGTAGTAGCATCTCTGTTGTGGAGGGGGTGACATCACAGTCAGCACAGAAGAAGGGATGTGGTCGGCAATCCCGGCACCGGACAACAGACGTTTTGCTCCAACACTGTTGGCAAATGTGTGTTCCCACATTTGCTTGGGCCACTACGGTGTTAACCAGATGTGGTCTCGCTGCCCTCCAGCTCTCTGAAAAAAAACTTTTTCGAGTGCTTCAGTTGGTCGATGCCAGCAGAGAAGCACTTGGGGTTTGTGCTACCACCTCATCTCCTGTAGTATCGCTCAGAGACTGCTGGAGATCTCGTAGAAACCCCTCTGTTAAAATGGTACAATAAAGTCCAAAGCACAATGATTAGTTTTCTTTAAAACATACTGGATGGTGTGGTTTTGAAAGCTGTAACTACTGTGTTCTTAATTCTAGCAAATTATGAAGTTTAGAAATGAAGTACGTATCACGTAAAGATACAAGTATGAATATGTGTTTCGGGCTAACCAGACCAAATGAAGTACATACCAACAGTCTCTGGAGCGATAGCTGGAGCAAAGACAAGATCACAGTCAGGGTCAGGAGCATCAACGGGGGGATCAGTGTTACGACTGCAGCCAGCTGTATCAGAAAAAACATTTATTTTATACCATTAAATTGTACTACTTTTCCCTTACCAAGAGTTATGTTTTCATTCATTTCATATACTCAAGTGCCTAGAAATATATATCTTATACTGACCCTGATTGGAGACATTCCGGGTTGAACGTGGTCTTGCAAAGATCAGGTTTCCCTCACTGTCTCTCTTCTTCCAGCACATCATTGACACTGCTGGCACTGCTGTTGCTGCTGCTGCTGCTGCTGCTGTTGCTGCTTCCACTTTACAAAGCAAATCATCAGCACTCCGTAGGTCATCCCTTAACTATTTCTACTCAACCAGCTCATCTGCGCTTCTCAGGAGATCCTCAAGATCAGAATCACTCATTATAGTGAAGAGACACAGACAGAGACACAGAAGAAAGACTGACAACAGAGTTAGACAGAGAAAGAAATAGAGAGATAGGAAGAGACTATCAAGTACAACACAGCAATGACAGTTTAACAAGACAGACTTGGCTCTTAAAAGTGCCTTTGGGTTGTTTGGAGTTTGAAAAAACAAAGGGTTGTTTTTTGGAGAACAAATTGCAGGATCTGTTGAGAGAAAACAACATAATTTAGAAACTCAAAAATAAACAAACAATGCCAGTGTAATTGTTGTTGTTTACAACTTTTCTACTTGGCTAATAACCAATTAATGCTTACTACTGTTGTCATTAAAGGTATTTTCACACCATCGCACAGCAAAATCACTGCCACCAGTCATTTAAATAAGTAATTTGTACAAAAATTATAAAAGTATTATTACTATTAATACTAAAAACACATGTATACAAAGTATTATTAATAGATTTACGATTCGAAAATTATAAAAGCAGAGTAGACATGTGGAGATTATCCGGCTGAACAAAACGTGATCCGTCTCTTAAATGTGTGTCAACCACAGACCTTATTTCGAGCTATTTTCCAAAATCCTATGGAGAAATTGCAGTGCGTTTTCTAGCTAGCTAGCTAGCTAGCAAGCTAGCTCAGGCGAGTTCATTTGTTATATTTAGGTAATACCCTATATTATTTAGTTACTATACCCCTCAGAAAGGTGCCAGAAACAACATAGGCGCCGATTAGATTATTATTATTATTATTCGTGGCTAAGTTTATCATATTTCCTATAACTATGTGTTACCCATGCTCTTACCTTGATTCTGAAGAACTGCGACTCTCTCATCCAGGTTTGGTCACGTAAAGTGCAAAGGTATGCCGTCTTTACGACGGTACCTGAGGATTGTGGGTAATGTAATAGCAAAGCGGACAGAAGTCGTCACAACAATAGCTGGGGATTGTGGGTAGTGTAGTCTCTTTGGCGCTCCACATTTCAGAGAAAACAAGTTGTCTCAGAATTGAAGGGGAAAAACACAAAAGCATTGTACACAATTTAAACCTATCAATGTCGTTTAATTAACAAAGGTAATCTGGTGTTTTTGAGTTGATGAGTAATGGAGATATCACTGTCAAATCAATCGACAGTAAGGAGAATACTTACTTCCGGGTGTACAATTCTCCGTTATCCAATGGGAATGGACGCTCACATTGCCTTTAAGAGCTGCCGACACAAACGAATGCCGTGCTTCCCAGTAGTATTACCAATGCCCCTTCAATCACATTAGTATGCATAAAAAGTGACAGGTCACACCTTCTAAGTCCCGCCCCCTACGTATGCTAATGAGCCCCTTTGATATGCTAATGAACCCCTTTGTTCGAGGTGTTATCACATGTAGGTGTGATATTCCCCATTGTAGTAGATCCTTTGTTGTGTAATCTAATTAGCCTTTGATGTCTGATCCCTTTGTTGTCTATCCTTTGATGTGAGGGGTGAGGTGTTTGTGACATGTAGGTGTGATATTCCCCATTTTAGTAGATCCTTTGTGGTGTAATCTAATTAGCCTTTGATGTCTGACCCTTTGATGTCTATCCTTTGATGTGAGGGGTGAGGTGTTTGTGACATGTAGGTGTGAACTCCCCATTGTAGTAGATCCTTTGTTGTATAATCTAATTAGCCTTTGATGTCTGCCCCTTTGTTGTCTAATCTAATTACCCTTTGATGTCTGTCCTTTGATGTAAGGGGTGAGGTGTTTGTGACATGTAGGTGTGATATTCCCCATTGTAGTAGATCCTTAGTTGTATAATCTAATTAGCCTTTGATGTCTGACCCCTTGTTGTCTAATCTAATTAGACCCTTTGATGTCTGTCCTTTGATGTAAGGTGTATGTTGTAACATGTCTCGCACCCCAGCCCCCTTGCACCCCGTCCCCCTCTCACCCCTTCCTGTCACCCCATCCCCCTCTCACCCCTTCCTGTCACCCCATCCCCCTCGCACCCGCCCCCCTCTCACCCCCTCCCCCCTTCCTTTTGCTGTGATGTCAGAAGATAGAGGTGGGGATGGAGCTAGGTAAAAAAAAAGAAATCCGTGCAAACTAGATAAAAAGCCAGTCATTTCCACACACCAAGTCACCTAAACTTTCAAAAACGAAAATGGCAAAGAGACGCATCGATATGGGTTTAATCAGCGAGACGCCTGTGACAACTTACCGCCATCCGTCGGGAGCGCCAGTCAAGAAACGGGTGCAGTATCTGTGCCGGGTTCAGACCCTCCGTCTGAGGCTCTTCATGAAAAATGGAGTCTGGATGTGTGAGACTGTCTCCCCTCACACCCCCTAACACCCCCTCCCCTCCCCCCTGCCTGTCACCTCCTGATGTGGCTATCAGCCGTTAATTCTCATTCACTAAGTCACCTAAAACCTTTATTGTCCTCTCTAAATTAGATTAGTTTTTTAATATGATTTGTGTTAACTAAGGATGTTCTCTTAAGTTGTATGGCTTGTGAACTAATGTTTAATTACTTTATTAACTACAACAAAGTCTCTCTGAGAGGAAAATAATAATTTAAAATATGTTAATGACCCCCTGATATTGTATTTTGTAATGTTTAATTACTTCACACAACTATTAATGAATCCCTATATGAAGTTACATGAGGCTACATTTACTTGGGTTGAGCCCTGGATGATGAAAATAATCTAAGTGTCATGTTAGGGGGGCATTACGGAACTCAGGAGTCCGCCCTTGGAGGCGTGGAGAGCGGATAAAGAGAGGTGTATTTAATGGTGTTGAGCCCTGGATGATGTAAATAGTCCAAGTGCCATGGTAGGGGGGCATTACGGAACTCAGGAGTCCGCCCTTTGAGGCGTTGTTAACATTAATGCTTTTGTTTTTGTTACTAAGATACACTTTTGAAGTGAGCAACACTTTACAACTGGTAGAAAGTTAAGTACTTTGTATGGAATGGGGTTTTCTCTAGAGCTGTTTTCAGTGAGACAATGCAGTTTCTGATCATTTTAAGTTTTCAAGTTTCAAGGCTTTATGGCATATGCCCATTAGCTACAGTGTAGATATGTCAATGAAAAACATAGGTCACAGGCTCCTCCAACAGTGCACATAAAACAGATAAAATACTGCAATAGAATGTTTTGATATGACAGATTTGTGCGTAATTCTCTCACAAAGGAACTGTAAGATACACGTTTATGTATGGAAAACTTCATAACTTGGTAAAATATTCATTCATTTGTAACGAATTGAGTTTTCTTCAAGAATCACACTCTAATGGAGAGTTTATGATTTTTAACACTGTTTCGATGAAACAATGCAGTTTTTGATAACTTGACTTGACTAACATTACTTTTTTTAAATATATGTTTTTAGATGCTTTACTTTTGATTTCTTTCATGTTATTTTAACACATTACTTTTTTCATATTTTTCAACATACTGTGATTTTTTTTTCTCTCCTTTTTCCATTATATTTTTGAATATACAGACATTCAACGCAATAAGTCCCACCCCAATTAGCAAATCATCCAAAACTAAGGACCCCCACTAAGACGAACAGATTTTCTTTAAGACTGTGACTCTTAAAGGCACTTTGGGATTTTAGTAAAACAATCCAGTTTTCTGGAAATAACGTTTTTTCTCCTACAAAGATACTTATAGTTACACTTTAATGGATGCAAAACTTTATAACTTGGTAAAATATTCATTAATTTGTAATGAATTGAGATTCTTAAAGAATCAAACTCTAAATGGAGAGTTTGTGATTTTAACACTGTTTCGATGAAACAATACCGTTTTGATAACTTGACTCGACTAACATTACTTTTTTAAATATATGTTTTGTTAGATGACTTTACTGATTTTTGCTTTTTTCTTCCTTGCTTTTGTTTGTGTTACTAGGATACTTTTAGATACACTTTGAAGTGTGCAACACTTTACAACTGATAGAATAGTACTTTGTAAGGAATTCGTTTTCTTGGTAGAATATAAAGTACTTTTGTA